ACACTATATGCACACCACATACACATAATATGTACAGTACATGCACATGATATGCACAAAATGGGAGAAACTTTAGCGGCAACATATTGGTATAGTGGATACAATGAAAACACAATTGTTACGTATATAAGGTTACAATTACAGTTTAAAAAGTCTTGTTACGTATATCAACCACCATTTAATCGTGCATGTGAAAAACATGATACTCGTTGTCGTTATTTCATAGACACACATGACCCTTAACGTCCTCTAACTTTTCTTTATTTTGTTTTTCGCCGAGACCAACTAGGTTGTGGTCATACTCGCTAAATTCCAGGGCACAATATACATGCATCATAACTAGTGAACATTCCCGCTTCTCATATTAAGATGTATCCATATGCACACCACATGCACATTACAAAAATAATTTCACAAATTTCTGCAATTGAAACCAAATATTGTTCCATCCCAGTTTTGCAACACATCAAAACTTGAAATTTATTTCACAACTCATACGCCGCAACATGAAACACAAACCTTATTTTAAATTTTAAGTATTAATTCATCTTACAAACAATCCATTTATTCTATAAATCATTGATGAAGGAAGTTGGAACTAAACATCCTACCTTACTATGCCTGCTGAAGCTTTAGTCGCTGGAAAAAATGGAACTTTTTTGCCAAAACAGAAAATATGGTACAAAATCCAGCTCACTCTTCTCACCTCTCTCTCGCATCCATTTGTTCAAAATCAGAGGTATAAGGTTAATCCAAAACCCAGCTCACTCTTCTCGCCTTTCTTTGTACTTCCCTCTCTTCAAAATCAGAGCTCAGAGATCTGAGCTCAACCAAAAAATCCAGAGCTCACAGAGCTCTCTCGACATCCCTCTTCCAAATGAGAACAGTGATGCAATGAACCGATGACTTTTCGTATTTATATGTGGGTATTTTAATAATTTTATTTTTGTGCATGATGTGTATGACTTGTGCATGGTCAGTTTATCCTATTTTTATTCCAAGTTTAAGAAATTATCCTATTTTAGAGTATTTCCCTTTATCATATGGTCTAGATGTAGACTTGAACTTGTCATCATTAATAGCACATTCAATATTATTATCTTGTTTTTTATATTTTACATTGTTGCAGTTATTTTCTATAAAAGTTTATCTGTAATACTATATTTTTTTTTTTTTTTGCCAAAAGCCCTTATATAATTATATTTTACCAAACATTTTTCCTGTTACTTCGTCGTTCAGAGCAAAAATAGTTTTTTTTGCAGTTATTTTATATTAAAGTTTCTCCATAACAGTGTCTTTTTTTTTTTTTTTTTTTTTTTTTTGCCAAAAGCCCTCATATAATTATATTTTACCAAACATTTTTCCTGTTACTTAGTCTTTCAGAGCAAAAATAATTTTTTTCAAAGCAAAGTAAATATCAACCGAGCCCTTAATAATGAAATTTGTACGAAAAGCAAGACTGATTGCATCAGCTTGGACCTGTTTCGACCACCTTTTTTTTTTTCCAAAGGACACCGTGGAAGACTCACTTTACCTTACGGTCTACCTGAAACTTGTAGTTAGAAAAGGTTTCAAGTAAGACAAAATTGTTACTATCAAGGTTCTAAAAGATGTTAGACATTAGTTGAGTTGCGGATTAGACTTAGTGCTTAGGCAGCTAGACGGAATTTAGGCGGATTTAAGTAAATTTATTTTTTTTATATAAATAATTGCCTATTTATACTTAAAAACACACACATAATTGTATTGAGATATACATAAATTTCAAAATAAAATAACATAAATTATAAAGTATTAGAAACATGGGGAACAAGCATATAAATTATAATGAGTGTTCATCCAAGTATTCGATAAGTTGGATTTGGATCCCATCCAGATGCAATTTGTAGGGATCCTAGGATTCTCACATCCTAACCGCTCATTATACATCGTGTTGCCAGAAATTATTTTGAATTTTTTTAATTTAAAATTAAACATAAATAGCACCTAACGAAAATTGACCTCACGATGTACGATAAACGATTAGAGTGTGAGGATCCGGATATGATCCTCATCCCAATAAGTCTCCTACATTTTATTGAAAACTTAAAATGTAAAATGAAAGTTTTTTATTTTCTATTTAAACGAGAGTCGCGACCTAGGCAGGCGCCTGAGCGGGTCTAGACACACTTTCTTAATTTTCAAACGCTTAGAAACTAATCGGGGCAGTGACCAACCACCTAACATCGAGGATTTTTAGAACAATGGTTACTATTAAGTTTTAATCAAAGTTGAGTGTGAATGGTATAAAGTTAAGAAAAGGGGTTTTTGAACATTAGTCCTTGCAAAAGATTAAAATTTAAAAAAAACCTGATGCTAGATTAAATATTCAATTTAATCCCTTGAGTGTACTTTTATCAAAATTTACATTCAATTTTTCTTATTTAATGTGTATTTTTATTTAATCTCTCCATATTAAATTTTAATTTTATTAATATGCACATATTTAATTTTTTAATTAGAAATGAACGTAAATGAGAAAATATTTAAAAAAAATTGTGATACAAAAATATATAGATACATAAGTGCACAGAAATGATTGTGCCAAAATATATAAAATTGACTTTTTTGTACCAAAATATTTGTACCTACATGATTGTACCGAAATATATTATAATGAACCTAAATGTATGTACTGAAATGTATTATATTGAATTAATGTACCTAAATGTCAATACCAAAATGTATGTACCAAAATGTACAAACCTAAATGTTAATACCGAAAACGCATGTACCTAAATATCAATACCAAAATGTATGTACCTAAATGTATTTACCGAAATAATAATTGAATTAATGTACCTAAAAGTCAATACTCAAATGTGTATATCAAAGTGTACGTAACAAAATGCATTATATTGAATCAATGTAACTACATGTTTGTACCGATAGATATACCAAAATATTCAAATGTATTAATGTACCTAAATGAAGAACATACAAAATTGTTATCGGAATATATATTATAAAAAATTTAGTTGCCTAAATGTAGACATTAAAATATATTATGATGAATGAAATAAAAATTAAATTTAAATGTAATTAATACATTAAAATAAAAATAAAAAGATAAAATAAAACATCAAAATACAACTAATAAATGATATGATTAAATGTGCTAGGGACTAAAATTGAATTTTAATATTACATATGGTTATAATCTAAAACTCATCTGTTTTAGGGATTAAAATGAAGTTTTCTAAAAGAAAATCTACAACTTCCTTTGTCGCTTCAGCAAACAGAACCTTGCGACCCCTTGAACTCACACTGGTGGCATTGGTGGTTGCTATTGATGCATTATTGAGGACGGTGGAGGAGCACCTCAATTTGTAGGCTTTGAAAACCATTTCAATTCATGCATCCACGGCTTTTGCAGAACGAAAGTGTTAATGAAACGGAAGAAGGCAGAGTGTTAACTAATAAATGGCCCATTTGTTTTGACCAGAAGATTCAGAACTGAAGGATCTTGATTCATGAACCAAGAAGACAGAGGGTTACCAAATTAATTCCTTGTTCGCCTCCCCGTTCTATATGATACTTGTGTTAATTAACTAGAAAACTTTTTTTTTTTCTTTTTTTTTTAATTTTATGTCGAGTAGATTGGTTCAAAGTCCAAAATTATCTTTGATGCAGCTATGTCTTCTGCTGAGTCTGAAAAAGGCTCAACAAATTGTCCTACGACCGCAAGACTTATTCCAATTTGGGCGATTAACCATAACTACTCGACATGTATGCATGAAACTTAGGGCTGGGGCGCAGTTTGGGTTAGCTCAGTTTTGGGTCTAAAGTATAAACAAACTACACTTTTGAGTTGCTTAAATTCTAAACCACAACCGAATTATAATGGCTTAAAACTGATGTAATCAGTTCATTAATGTTGCGGTTTGGTTGGATTCAATTTTCAGTTTAACATGCATCTACTACGAAATACAATTTAGAGCTATGCCAAAGTAATTATTAGAAATCATTTGTAAACCTATCAATTTATAAAAAGTGGTGTTAGGTCCATAATTTCCTAAGTAGAGTGCCCCGCAAGTTGCCCCAAAAGAGTTGCAAATTAAACAATAAATAAAGTTCTTAGGTGATAGAGACTGGAATGAAGCCAATGTTCTTACTAGCAATACCTAAAATTTCAAACTTCTTCTTTAAAGTTTTGGAGAGACTTTTTAGTATGTCTGGAACACAAAATGGTATATCACATATTATTTTATAATTGGAGGGACACTTGATAAAAAATATATATATAATAAAAAAAAAGGTTCCAATAGTATAATGATATGTCGTATACTACTTCGTGTTTCAGACACAATAAAAAATTTCTTCCTGCAATGGGGTGGGTGGATACAGGAGTCGAATTATCCACCTTTCAAATTATTTTTTTAATTTTAATTTTTGTTTTGTTTTGTTTTTTAGGTTGTGGGATGATTGAGTTTCCAAAGGTACCTTTTATATTTATTTTTAAATTGAAGTTTTATTTCTACTCCAAATTAGGCAATCTATCACTTGCAATTTTACCTTTTATACTTTACTTAAAAATGTATGAAGTTAATGAAAATAACAAAAATGCGAGAAACAGTTTGAGTACAATAGGAAAAAGAAAAGAAAAAAAGTTCAAGGACAAAAGCAAAACTTGCTGACAAGTTTGGAAACCATTGCAAGTACTTTTAAATGACTGAAAATGTTTTTTAGAAAAAATGTTTTAGAAATCAATCCTTAATAAAAATGCAAGTTAATCATGGAAAAGAACTTCAAGTGCTTTTGAAATCCAAAAACATTTTCTCTAAAAATGCTTTCAGTCGTTTAAAAGCACTTACCAAACAAGCTCGTAATTAGTCCCAATGGAATTCCTGTTTTTATTGACAAAGTAAATTGGAAGAAAACAACCAAAAACATAACAAAGACTGAATCCAAAGTGCAAAAGATAAGAAGAATTTAAAAGATTTGAACTGGGAACTGGGGTTCATAGTATTGTATCTTTACGCTTCACCCTTCAAGAATTTAGGGAACCACTTAGCGGAGTCTTTAGGAATGCGCTTAAGATTGTCTTTGTAATCGATGTAGTAAAGCCCGAATCTTGAGGTATAACCATCACCCCATTCAAAGTCATCAAACAAACTCCAGTAGAAATATCCTTTCAAATTCACACCATTCTTTCTTGCCTTATTGATCCAGTACAAATGCCGAAGAGTATTTTCGATTCTATGTTGATCCTTGAGCGCTTCACCAAGTCCGCGTTTATCATCCTTTGGCTCGGTAATTCCATTTTCTGTAATGTACATCTTCGGACTTTGATAGTGTTCCTTCATGAACTCCAACAATTTCTCCAGACCTTGCGGATAAATGTAGATGAAAGTACTCCCATTAGCCGGAGGTCCGATTAGGACTCCATTTCTTTGTTCTGTCAGTGAAGCTAAAGCATCGTTGTGGTAGCATGTTGGTTTCTTTGGACTTGCTGGATCGTTTTTACCATATCTTGATGTATAATAGTTGATGCCAATAAAATCAAAAGACCCCTTTAACAATATCTTTTCCTTCTGTCTGAACTTGGGTAGCCTTTCCTTGACCAAATCTCTCATACTCTTCGGATAGTTTCCGTATACTAATGGTTCCATGAACCACCCGAGGTTGAAGTCCAAACCTCGTTTTGCTGCAGCTCTATCGTCCACCGAGTCTGAAAAAGGCTCGACATACACTCCTACAAGACTTATTCCAATTTGTCCGCCTTGTTTTTCTTGGAACTTCTTTCGGTATAGCTTAACAACGGTGGCATGCGCGAGGAGAAGGTTATGGGTCACAATGTAAGGTTCAGTGGCTGAATTACCAGCCGTACATTTAAAAAATGAGTCTACAGAACACCTGCCTGGTGCAGAAATTCCAACATCATACCCCATGAAGGCAACAACATATGGTTCGTTGATCGTGATCCAATTTTTAACCCTGTCTCCAAATGTTTTAAAACAAATTTCACTGTAATCCTTCAAATCATTCACAAACGAACGGTTCAAAGGGCCTCCGTACTTGTCTTCCAACGCTTGTGGCCAGTCAAAGTGCAATATGGTCACATAGGGTGTAATGCCGTTCTTGATTAATTCATCGATGAGGCTGTTATAGTGATCGATACCCTCTTGGTTTATTCCGCCACTTAAGGTTCCCTTGGGCAGAATCCTTGTCCAGGCGATCGAAAATCTGTAGTGGTCAACTCCAGTGTCCTTGAGAAGCTTCACGTCATCCTTGTATCGCTTGTATGAATCCAGGGCAGTAGACAAGTTCGACCGGTCCACGATTCTTTCTGGGAATTGCTTTACAAACGTGTCCCAAACACTTGGTCCTTTTCCTGCTGATTGTGCTGATCCTTCCATTTGTGCTGCAGCAGTGGACACTCCAAACACAAAATCGCGTGGGAAGTCGGCCCTCTTAACTTGGAGTTCTTTCGGGTTAAATGCAACGACGTGAACTTGTGACAAACGGGCAAACAAACCGATGATACACATCCACTTTAAAAACCTTAAGAAAGGTGGCGAGGACGCCATGGTTAAATTTTTTCAGCAAGGATGCCTTGAAATTTCAGCAACAGAGAACTGAGCTTGGCTTGATTAAGGATGCCTGGAGCAACTCCAACTACTAATAGCAGTAGCATTAATGTGTCCAGCATTTGAGTTACAAGAATATCTAGACAGTTGCCCTTTCTTTGATCAAATTTATTTATTGAGTAGTAAAAGTAGTAAATGTTTGACAGTTTCAGTCGCTTAAATTGTTGTTAATGCTCCTATGCATTCGGTATTAAATTGTTGGAGCTGTTATTCGCACTCTAAAGTAACCATCAATTTATGATGAAAGAAAAGAAATAAAACAGGAAAGAGCGTTCATCAAAGTGATTATTATGACATCTTGTAGGACATGGTTTCACTCTGGCCTGGCAAAATCTCTTTAGGGCTGCTCGGGCTTTGGATTGCCGTTGGTAAAAATCGACCGGAGTAAGCTCCGGCAGCCAACATCCTAGGGTTCAGAAGGGTATCCTTTATAACAAGGTGTTTGTATGTGTCACTAGGGTCTCCTAATTAAGCTGCTTAGAAGGTGAGGAATGAGCATCCTCGTTCTTCCGCAACTACCGAGTCTCCATTTTGTTCGAGATATGACGAGTTGTAGTAGTTAAGTTAGCTCTACAATTTATTCGAGAACATACACATAGAACCAAATGGTTACAACTTACAGCCATTTCTTTGGAGAGAGAGAGAGAGAGAGAGAGAGAGAGAGAAAGAGAGAGAGAGAGAGAGAGAGAGAGAGAGAGAGCATTTCGAATGGAACGTTTAATATAAATTGCTTGTTTACCAGAAAAGACATCAAGGATTTGATCCTTGTATTAGTGAATATACAAGAAAAATCCTACGAGTAACCAGGGAGGGCGTTAAAGCGCTGTACAACCGGTAAAGATTAGCAACGAGGCAGTTAGGAGTTGAGAGGGCGGCCTACTGCACAGCATAGTACAAAACACACCATGTCAGGATTACAAAAACACCCATAAAAGAACACACTTGTAAACGTAGACAACAATGAACAGTCCTTAAATGGAATTCCTACGGACCTAGCTATGCAAAACCCTTGTTTTATGAAAACTTCATCTTCCCTTGGATCGACAGAAAAAGGCATCAAGAAAAGATCACAAAGTGCTTTAAAATGGAGCCTTTATCATATGTATGCATTTCACCGTTGTTTTACGGCAACTTTTAAAACTATTAGGATTAAAATGGACATCAGAATACATAAGGGACAGGCATATGCACAGTGTTTACGCCAACCATGCATAAATCTTCCTTTAGTTTTGTTTTCGTTTTGATTGATTTACTCGCAGTAGCAGAAGCTAGCATCCAATCAAAGTTCACTCCTCAAGGGAGATTTTTCAAGAAATGGGCATTAATAGACTCTTCGAGGGACAACTACTGCAGCTGCCCTACTTGCAAATAAGGTTTCTGTACATTTAGTACGTGATTCAGCAACTTCGAACAGAAAAGATGCATACACAAAAACATGTTTAAATGCAGGCAATGGAATAAAATCAAGTGAAACGGACCAAGGGTGCATGTGCTGTTTAGTAAAACCTTGTATTTAGTGCAGCAAAACAGCTCATACTAAGATGGTTGGTTCACTAGTGACATGCCACCCAAAGCCTCCAAGACAAAGCTACTATCCCAATCGCAGTACCAAAAAAATAGTTGACTAGCATGTCTTTAGATATGAAGGAATCAGTTTAATAATGGTTACCAACTACTTCATTACCTTAATGTTTTAGCCGCTGGCGTTTATCCTGATGCCTGGAAAATGTTGGACTGCAAATTAAGTCAGGAGAAACAGAAAATTGATTTGGGCAACATGTCCATAAAGAATCTCCCCTAATTGCACTGGCACTACAACCGACTCAATAATTCAAGAAACTCCACTGGTTCTTCATTTTCTTTAACAATCTGTTCATACAGCATTCAGTGTTCACAGTTAGAAACCCCATACATTTCACAACAATTGACAAGCATGCATTCACGGGCTTTAATCCAACAGAAAATTACACTTTGAATGAATGAACACAAACAAATCGACATAGATACCTTAAACCCCAAATGAGCCAAAAATGAACAGCTTATCGAAGAATATAATTAGTCACTGCTGAGTAATGACATCAGGCTAATAATCAAAGGAAAGTCAAAGACAATAATAGCACCATAGATCTTTTAGCTGAGGGTAGATTATGTTAAAAACATAAAAGGGAAAGAATCAAACAATGTTAGAAAATCAGATTATAACAGATAAAGGATCAGAAATCATAAACGTAAAAAGAGACAACCTAATGCAAAATGTAAGAAACTGCAACTAACCATGCCAAAAAATCAGATTTAAAAGAGGAAAATAAAAAACCCTAACAGCTGTCAAGTAACTCACTAATCAAAAGTCAAAGCCCCTGAGACCCAAAAATAGTTCGGATGCATAAGTAGATGGCAACAGAAATCTTATAGCAAACATACGTAATTTACAAGAAGCCACATTAACCGAGCCCTAGAGACACAAGCACCAAAAATAAAGACGAAATCACATAAAAAGTAGAGGTAAACACAGATTCATATTCCATACCTTAATGATTGTGTCCTTTGGCAGACCCATTTGAACAAGAACATGAAAACCAACTTGATCCCAGTCACTCTCTTCTACATCAGTTCTCTCTCTTCCACTATCTAGTTGAATGGAAAACTTATCACTGTTGAAAATCTCCCCACCCAGAGGTACAAAACCCGGTCTTTACTTTTTCCAAAATCTGTATTTGGTGAGAAAATAGTGTAAGCAGCTTTAGAATCTAGTTCCCTCACACCAAATGTCGCAATCTTCTCTAAACTGGGCCAACGGCACACAAAAGGTTGGATAAAATTGCATTGCGCTGGACAACTTTCCACAATCTCCTTTGAGGCAGAAGATTCTGTACCTTCCTTCAAAGGGTTCCAAGCCTCAGTGGAATGTTTGATAAAAGAAGTTTCCTTCTGGCATGAGTCTATACTATCTTCCCTACACGGGGATTTGTTGCATTGATGTGTTGAATCTCCCCCTCCATTTTGAACATCATCCTTCGACTCTAAGGCATTGTCAATATTATCTACGTAACCTATAGAACAAGTACTGTCATTTATCCGAACACCATCTTCTTTACTGGGAAGAAATTTTGACGAAGGACTCATCAGCCTCATCTCATCACTCATTACAGGTAATTTAAGAGATAAATTACCTCTGCGCTTTGCAAGCGAAGATGAAATTCTTTTAGATGGTAATGAGATTGATTGTGAATAAGGCTGTGAACTACAACTGGAAACAGCATTTTCTAGTGTGTTAGACATGGGTTGATGAGTTGATTTAGCTGAGAGGAGTGACACATCAGAATCATCTGACGATGTTGAAGATACCGGAAGAGAGCATGAAGCTGCAGATGGCGAATCCGTAGAGGATTCTGAAAAGTACTTTGAATTAGTGCTTGATTCAGAAGAAATGGAATCTGGTGATAGATATGAAGGTGACGAAGAAGAAGCTGATGAAGATGAAGACGGCGCTGATACAGGTGATGACGAATTTTTAGCTGAATGAACTAACATCATAGAATCTGAATAGACCCTGGAGAGGGATATCCTGGGTGCTGACATAAAGTCCTTCATATTTTCAGAGGCAAACTTACGCCTGAGAGCACTCCAGCTGCTCTCTCTAGCAGGAAGATGGGTTTCGTGTTCGTTCTCTGAGGATGCAATTGGAGGTACAAAACCACCACTAATAGCTTTCTGGAAAATTTCATAATCAATATTATACATGTCTGTTTTTCTTTCACCTGGGCGAATCTTAACTACTGACTCCCCAACGTCCCCTTCATTGCCAGACCTATCCATCAAAGGTAAAATGTTTGAGAAAGCATCCCAAAAGTACGCTGGTTCTTCCCCTTCCTTGATTATTGTTATTGGACCTTGCACTCTCTCATACCGAACAATCTGACAAACAGCCCCTCTTGCATCCCTTTCCATGATGGCCTCACAATTCTTACCAATCCAAACATATATGGCAGAAGGTATATGAACAATAAATGCACCTCTAGAATCCAACGCAGACTGCGAAGGATCATTCAACATTTTTGGAACAAGATGCAAAGGATCATATGGTGAATGTGGGGCAATTCTGTACATCCTCAATAGTGAACTCGGGCTAAGAGGGAAAGCATGGACCCTCTTTTGGCACTGTAACAACTGACAAGCAAAACCCATATTTGGATCAGCAATACCTCTTGCTGCTTTCACATACTGAAACGCATCATCGAAACTCTGTCCTTCTCTCCACATAAGATACGCAATCACCAACGATGTGGACCGAGACACACCTTGACAACAATGAACCAAAACTCTTCCACGTTGTTCCCTAACGTCTTCAAAGTAATCAAAAACATCATATAAAATACTTGTAATATCCTCAGTCGGACTATCCTGCAACCACAGAGTTCTGTACACAAAATCCGCCTTGAAATACTCGGGACAAACAAAACCCACACAATTCAGAACATGGGTGATCCCGCTCTGCTTAAGTATGTCCCTATCCCTTGCAACAGCATCTCCGCCAAGATAAATGTGTTCAGCCACTTTGGAACACTCTTTATCAAAGAAAGCAATCTTATCCCTCCTCACAAGCCCGCCATTCTTTTCAGGATTTCGCTGAATCGCTGACAAATCAAGCTTCAACCTCTCCCCACCACTTCTTCCACTCGGGGTAGGAGGTTGTGACCACTCACCAATATCATCTGAACCTGCCTTGGGCCACTCATCTAAGCTACGCCGAGCAATGGGCAACTGCAAGGGGGGCAAACCAGATCTAGCCTTGCTATTCTGCTGGGACCGAGGGGTTAAGGGTACAGGAAACCTACGATGGTTTGGGACACTGTTTCCTACAATGGCATTTGGATCTGCTAGGTCTCTTTCCTCAGTCTCAGGGTTGGTCCGGGAAGCAGACCACGACGCTGAGCGCCAGAACATCTTCCGAGAGCTCGAAAGCTGGGCCGGAGGCCGTGAAGTAGCGGAGGCATCCTCCTTACTCACCATGCCCAACTGAAATTCTTAGTGAAAAAAAACCCAGAAATCCGAAACACCCCTTAATTCGATTCCATTTCGCTTCACTACGCTCCAAATAAAGAGAAGAGCGTGGGGTTTTGATTTACAAGAATGTCAGGAATCAAAACCCTATCAGATCAAGCGTCAGCAACAAACCCACTCTGAAGAAGAAGAACACAAAATCGTACTAATCTCATTAATTAACACCAAATCAATTCCCATATAAATTAGCGGTAAATCAGACCAATAAGGTGCTAAAAATAGAGAGAAATTAAACGGTAAAACTCATTAGGGTAGAATGGAAATCCCAATCTTAAGCTAAATCCTGAGTTTTTTTGTCGGCAATAAGAAATTGAATTAAAAACGTGCAATTTCTGAGTTTCTAGGGTTCTATGTGATGCAAAACTTACAGAGAGAGAGAGAAGATTTGTGACTTACAGATTGAGATGTGAGAGAGGCGGAGCAGAGCAGAGCTACGGAGGAGTGAGAAGGCTTGAGAGTGAAGAGAGAGAAGGCGGGAGGGGGGAGAGAGAGAGAGAGAGAGGGAAGGAGGGAGGCAAAAGCACAGGAGGGAAAAGGGGGAAGAAGAAAGATTCACAGTAGGAAAATGGCAGTGGGTTTCAATTTAATTCCTCGTTTTGTTTATTTGACTGCTTCAGAGAGACTGACATTTACATACCCATTCTCTAACCCGCCCAATATCCATATTCCCATGCCCATTTCTACCATACAATATTTGTCAATACAAGTGTGGGTGGAGAAAATTGAACTCGGGACCTCGGTGCAAAAATAATGTAAATAGTATATGAAGCAAGAAATTGCACCCGGAATTCAGATGCAAAGTGAATATTCTTAATCAATTGAATGAGAAAATTAAACTTTAGAGCTCAAGATGGGAGAATGATACAAACAGTTAAGGTAAGGAGATCGCACTCGAATGTCGAGTACAGTATTGTTTTGGTTATATTTTTATGGTGAAAATTTAGAATTGTAAATTTGGTAATTGGTTGGTCCAAAAGAATTGGTTATTGGTAGTCAAAAAACAAAAGTCCCAGGATTAGCAATGTTTGAATTTTGGCCACTGACTGACTAGTGAATATTCATATAATCAAATCCTTGCATTCCAAGTCAGAATGGAAACGACTTTGATTGGTACTTGGCAATATCATAAAACTTGGATTCAAAATATGGATTTGAAGTTTGAACGTCATTGTTACTTACCAAAGTGAAATTGCATATTCAAAATGGTTTGTTTAGAAACTAATTATTCAAACAATTGTGTTAGTATCAATCGCTCGCGCGTGCATGGATGTTTGCAAGTCATTTATTCATGTGGGACTTGCTTGCGTAACAATTACTGTGAATAGTTGACCACTATTTTTCTTTTAATGACAAAAAAATGAGGGATGAGAGTAGTCGATAGAGCTATATGTTTGTTGGCTCGTGCTGAACTGGATTAATCCATTAAATTGGATTAATGTTAGGGTTGGTTGTTTTTTATGAACTTTTAAACATTGGGCTTGACCTTATTTTTATAACAGTTCAACGTATTATATCTTAAACACACATTCCTGAAATTTAGCGACCACAATTTCAATCTTGTCCAATCACAACATCCAACGTAATAATTGAGAATATCGTCATAAGTTCTTAAAGGTTTTCCTATCATTAGGAAACAAGAGATTCGAACTAGGAGTAAGTTTACGAAGTTATTAAACTACAAATCTATAAGGTTGATGATTGATAGTTTTATAAAGTCCTAATTGCTTTGAATTTGGTAGTGCCAAATTCCCAACACAACAAAAGTCTCCCAATTTGGGTAAAATGCAGATTATTTCTACTTTTTACTAGTTTTCCACATTCAATTCAATGAGGAAAGGGACTTCATGAACCTAAAGTCCCCAAAAATCACACATTTCCTAAAGCTTAGAATATGACCCTTCAGAAACCCGTCTGTGATGAAAATTTGGGATTTGACGTCACATATATTCAGTGTTTAAAATACTTGTATAAGTGAAATTATCGATATGCAAATTTGTAGAAATATCAATACATTGACATCAGTTGCCTTCAAGGGAAATGATGGAAATTATCTCAAAAACCTGGAAATTTAAAATGAAACTTAATGTCAAACACTGGTTTAGAGAAAATATAAGAATTTCTCCGATCTTTAACCCATATGTTTGAAATATTGACAAATCTATCGATTTTAGCTAAAACTACGGAATAAAGTTTAGACTTCACCTCCCCTCCCCTTCCTCCATATCTTTCAATAATTTTTCGGATATTTCCATGGAAATTTAGAAGCTAATAGTGAGGAGTACAATGACATCCATAACACGAAAGAAGATCGGATGCTAACGCGAATCATATCGATTTGATTTCAATAAGAATAGTAACTACATTTACAACAAATCAACAACATCAAATGTTGCCAAATACAACGAGTCGTTCAAATCTGGCTCATCAAACTGACAGCAATAGCTACCATAAATAGGCAATGCATGTTCAAACAAGAGAAACACTGAATTCTGTAACGGTTCGTTTGTTTGTAGAAGAGTGGAAGGGAATCTTACGACGCATGAAATCACTTAATATAACAGTTGGAAGTGTTATTGATCGTAGCATGATCCAGACCAAGTTGGAGGACTTCGAGCATAGAAGTTCGTCACCGGAGCGGCTTGAACTCCACGTCTATTTAAGAGACATCTAAAGTATTGTAGCCGAGGCAGTGCTGTTGCGATATTCTTTCCACCAGATGTTGCCTCCCTCCTGCTCCACAAGCGTTCTACAGGGAAAACGAAATGCCATTAAATCAAATTAGACAGGCATCAAAAGATATCCACGGTGTAACAAGTTTACGTGTACGTTGTAATGGTGAACTATTTTTCACTGCTTACCTGCAGCAGCTGCTGCTCGAGGCCAAATTGTTTGCTGAACATCTGATGTATCGGCTTTCTCACCCCACATGCATACTTCTCCTCCAATGACAAGCTTCTGCTGAGAAATATCCGTAATTCCTTCAAGTGGTTCAGCATTGTAAGTAACATTCCAAGGGACATCTAGATGGTCAAGATACCAAACACCCTGATTGCTAAAAATACATCTGAAACCTTTGGCAACAGCCTTCGGACAAACTCCTGAGCCCAACCTGTTGCATTTAGAAAGTTAGAAAGTGCTTGAAACGATTAGAGCTTCACTTGATGCCATCACAAAAAAAAATGTGCATAGGGAAGAAAATCACCAGTTATGCACTACGGTCTTGGGATTGAGCTTCGTTGGGAAGGTATCGAAGGTTTCTTCCCTGCGTAGATAAAAATTACGTTTGTCAAATGATGCTTTACAGTATTGAGGAACAAAAACGATGATCATTCATTGATTTTAACCCCTTTATTTAACAACCAATGATTCATAACTGGAACCTGATGAAGATCCTAGCACGAACTTATGGGTGAGAAAGAAAAAAAACACTACCTTCAAATTTTCCATGAAAGCCAATGCAAGGGAAGGAAAAAAAAAACTTTAAAAGGACGGTAGCAAGTCAATGATATGATTTTTAGCATACCAGTTTACTGGGGACCAATTTTTTGAAACTGCTACTTCTTGGGCCTTGACAACGAAATACTGATATGCATCTTTAGTAGTCATGTTCCGCTCTTTAAGCCTACAGATATGAAGTCCAATAAACATATCAAACACAAATCAAGCTTGGCTAAACAAATCATCTGAGGTTGGCGTGATGGTTGTAATTAATTCAGTACATGCTCAATAGAAACATTAGCCAGTTTAAGATTGCGTGACTGTAAGACGAAGTTGTTTGAGTATTTTGTTGTGATTTTAAGTTATCATTGCTTGAAAGGTGCAAGAATTACATGCAAACAGTAATCAATCATATAAGATCTGAAAGATGATGAACAAAGCCAAACGAAGTAGGTACCATTGCTTCACATGTCGAGTGGTGCTCCAACAAGCTGCCAATATTGAAATAACATCAGATGGTATATAAGGATGGGGAGAGAGAGAGAGAGAGATTATGCACATGACATATAATTACAGGGGTGAGTAAGGGGAGAAAGGGGTGCCGGAAATCATTTCCTAAAAACAAATGCCCTTAAGGTGAAACCAATGTAACAGCAAAGAAGTTTTAAAAGAAGAGAGAACTATGTTCCCTTCGTATTAGTTCTTCGTAAACAACATGATTGCAGAATGTTAGTTTAGAACAAATGTTAGTTTTAACTTACTTGTATCAACTTCATCACCGCCCAAGTGGAACAGCTCGAAGGGAAAAATCTTTCTCATATCTGTATAATAGAAGTTAAATTTCATAGGTATATGCAAGATAAAGGCAAAACTTTCCCCAGTACTTACACAGAGAGAGAGAGAGAGAGAGAGAGATGTTATCACGAGGTTAACCTGTCAGAATTCCAGAAATCACATCTAAACTTAATTCCTTCGAAACATCAAGTGGCTCTTTGCAGGAAGGGGAAGGCCAAAGATCAGGATACCCGGTGCCCCTGCACATGGGGATCAAGAAAAGGTAGAAGTTACATGAATAAGTAGTTTTCAATAGTTAACCGAAAAGAATAATTCTTCAAGGATAATGAAATGTCAGCAAGTTCTGATTTTTTTTGCTAATTCTAGATTTAAGTTCCCAGAAAGCAAGGCACAAAAATAAATTACCGAAGACGAAAAGATTCAGTTCAGCCAGACCCAGTAATAAATGAGAAAGAATTTTCTCCATAAGATGAAACTATATAATGGTATGCAGTAAGCTCGTTCTCGTTCTCTCAAACTCATTTTAACTTTTAGCAAAGGGAGTTATTCAAGAATCAAGATTACAGTATGATCTCCATAGAAAAAAGTTTACCCTTTTACATAGAAATAATTGAATAAGAGATTGAAAGGGAAGTATCTTCTTCACACGTGAAGATCCTAGAAAGCCATGAGACTATAATTACTGAAGCAACCAAAGGCGAGTAAGCTAGGTCTTTTCATTTGGTACAACCACCACACTAATGAACCATCAACTTCTAGCTCAGAGAAAAAAGCTACTTGATAGGAAACGCTGAAATCCACTTCCTTAATTTTTACTTGCAATATTTTAGCCACAATGATACGCTCATAGCCTTAGTTTAAGACAACAGTTGATATTGAGAGAGGTTTTTACCAAGACGCTGCATGACCAGGGACATCTACTTCTGCCATAACATTGACGCCTGCCACAAAACATCCACAATGATTAAGTAAAATATGAAAAATCTTTTTACACCTTATGCAATAGGATGTCAATAGGATGTCCTGCATCCAGGCTATATAAACAGAAAGGAATAGTGAAGAACGTAAGCTTGTTTTCTGGCCCAGTAAGGAAACAAAGATTATGCGCACCTCTTGTTTTGGCAAAGCTTCACGTTAACATGTCAAAATGTGGAAAGAAAACACACTATTAGTCTCTGTAAGAGTAAGAAAGCATGAATTGCACATAAGAAATGTAGATAAAGGTTTTCTTTTCTTTTCTTTACAAAGCATTTACAGTTCAAAAGCTAACGAGGATTAGATAATCTACAGAAACCTTACTTGACGATTTCAATTGCATCCTCAACCGTGTAGCGCTCCCATTTTGTGTATGCTCCGTTCCACAACTTTGGATATGAAGGTACTTCTAGAGGAAAAGCCTCTCTATCTATGACGTGCCAATGAAGAACATTCTACTTAATGAAATTCTCAACATCAGTATTACATGAAAAATAATTAGAGAAACAGATCGGGATTCAAAATAAGTGAAAAATCCTTCGGATAGCATAGCTTACAAGTTTAGCATACGACATCGACTGAATTATTTGCTTAATCACTTCAATTGGTAAATAGTGCCTTGATGTATCTGGAAAAGTATCAACAAGATAGGCGCTCAGAAATATTATAGAACAGACTACTTAATGAACTTTGCATAGAATTTTATCTTCACAGGAAAAATTGCAGCTTACCAATCAAAAGCCCTCGGTATTGAAACCTTGGACTGTCCTTTATGTACCAGGGTGCCTTATATACTTGTACAGATTTACTCCCGTAATCAAAAGTACACAACTGGCTGAATGTCTAGAAAATGGAAGAAGAAAATGACGAATAAGGAAGAGACAGGAACAAGACAGGACCCCGCCTATTTGTGAAAAATCAGAGATTTTTTAAGCATCCTACAATGCATACAAATTTTAGCAGCTTATCCAACAGTTTGGTCTCAAGTACTAGTCCAGCTATGTCGATCTAGTTTCTCTATAACTAAAGCACTAAATATATCATCATTTCAAGCAAGTTTTTTTTTCTCAACCACCAGATTTAGAAGAGGATCATATGACATCATTCTACAATTTCTAAATGGCAACAGTTGAGCACCCATCATATGCATCCCGTTAGGTATTTCAGGAATCCAGTATTGTAATTACACCCATCTAGAATCATACCAAAAACTCTAACGTTACAGGAATGGATGTTAAGACAAGACACTGCCAAGCTGACGTAAGGAGAGACCAGTAAGAGGAAGACGTCATCACAATGCACGCATGACCCTTTACCCTAATTGCCGGACTAGAGCACCAGTACCACAGTAACATTTAACTGGCAGCTGCAAACCGAACAAAGGTTCAGGTATGCATTCGCTCATGTCATGCACCTCAGTTTGGGGGAGCAGAGATAGAGGAAACATGATTTCCATTTGTTCGGCGTCTATGCAAAGTTTAGTGTTATTGAATTGGAACGAGGATGGAAACCTCAACCACTTCCTCGCTTGCCTTAATGAAAGTAATGTTGCAGTCCTATGTCCTAACTGACTATTAAAGAAACCCTCTAAATTATGTACATGTGCTTATACATCCATGCCTAATTCGTAATGAAATTAGCAACAATCACACATACCTCCAAAGCCCGCAGAGCTCCATACACAGTGTTCGCCTGCAACCAAAAAGGGATAAAAAAAATCAACATCCATGGAACTACTGCACAACCATACCATTATCTTTGGCATGTAAGTCAAGATTAATTAATTATGATAACAATGCAACCTATGCTAGTCAAAGCCACAGGATCTACTACAGAACTGCAATACACAATGCTAGAATTGTTGCACTTATAGTCATAGAAAGCCGTTTCAGTGAAACGGAAGTAAATTCTGTTAGCTTGATTACATTGTTGATTCATTCAACAAAGCTTAAACTTTTCAGACAGAGTGATAGTCTAAAATGGTGCCAGAGCTCTAGTTCTTTGATTTGAAGCCTCTCGTCCCCATTTCGAGTTCTCTGTTAACCCCAAGCAGTGCAGTCAATGCAAGCTGGGACATCATATATATGTTCTGCTTTATATGCATTGCTCCCCATTCAAGCTTAAGCTTTTTGGGACACGGTACCGCAGAAAAATTAACCATTTAGACATCAAATGCACAACAAACAATCATCTGCTTCCGCACCAAATTGCCATCAATCACCAAAAAATGAAAAAACCATAACATCCAACCATCAATTTACCTCGATCGTCGCCTCCCCAACAACCGATGTCCCATCTTTCTTCGCCACAAACAAAGTATAGCTCTCATCCACACCAAGTTGCAGCTGCAAAAACACACAAAACCCACAATTATTTTCTCAGAAAACCAAAAACAAACTATAAATTTCAGCAAAAACCCAACTCACATCTTCGTTGCTCGATTGAACCACAATTCTCAGCTTATTAATATCAAAACTCTGTCTCTTTCCCCTCAGTGTATTCAAAGCTAAAACCTCATGACTGTTCTCGAATATAATCTCTCTGTACCGATCAAAACCCAGCTTCAGAATGCCGGAGCCGCCGCCACTCCCGCCAACAACCAGCGACAGCGCCGGGTCGACGGATAGGGTCTTGTTCCCGAAGGTGAACTTGGCCGGCAGCGGCCATAATAACGTCCGAGAGTCGTCAACTTTGCCGGCTGAAGTAACAAAAACACAGAGGGAGTGGGAGAGTAAGAACAGGATAAGGAACAAGGAGGACATGGTTTTCGGGGATTTTCAGAGGTTTTGGATTTGAGGTTTTTGAGTGTTCGACGAGAACTACGATGTTTTTGGTAACGGAAGAGTGGAGTAGGTCATGTGGAGCGTCTTACGATGTTGTGAGGAGAAAACAAAGTTGGTGATGATATTTACGATGATACAGTGTTTTATGATTGAATGTTTGTCTCCGTGACGCTGTATTTATGACGGAATTTCTGCAATTATTGCCGCCGTTAGACTTTTGGTGGCTGCAAAAAGGCAGGTAGCGGTTGACTTTTAAAAATAAAGTTTCAAAGAAGATAATATTTCGGGGAAAGGGATCGTCAAGTTCACCAAACCTACAAATCCGAGTTTTTAAAATTTAATTCAACGATTAAAGTTATTATAATTTTTAAAATGAATTTATGTTTATAGGCGTGGGATCAAATTTCAATAACTCGAATCGGTGAATTTGATGGAAGAGATAAAAAAATGATCACTTTCCATATTTCGGAACACTAGAGAATTTTTATTAATTTTTTTTTAAATTGCAATATAAAATTGTAAAATAGTTTATCATTCTTTACATTAACGAAAATCAATTACACAATTTAGTTTTATAGTAAAGTGTGGTTTTTATGTCAACATGCAAACGAGTCTCTTATCTTTCATAACGTTAAATAAGTGGGGAATTTAAGAACACTTCTTCATTGCTAAAAAAAATAGCAGCAGTTGCTGAACTTGCAACCACATATGGGCACGTGTTAATTTATAGTTTCCAATTTTAATTATTCATCGATAATTAAATCTAAAACCTCTCATTTATAAATATATAAAAAATCATTAAATTATAGTATTAAGTGACGAAAATCAATTACACAATTTAGTTTTATAGTAAAGTGTGGTTTTTATGTCAACATGCAAACGAGTCTCTTATCTTTCATAACGTTAAATAAGTGGGGAATTTAAGAACACTTCTTCATTGCTAAAAAAAATAGCAGCAGTTGCTGAACTTGCAACCACATATGGGCACGTGTTAATTTATAGTTTCCAATTTTAATTATTCATCGATAATTAAATCTAAAACCTCTCGTTTATAAATATAAAAAAAATCATTAAATTATAGTATTAAATGACAAATAATGTTCGAATTAAAAAACTATAATGCAATGTGAGAATATCACGTGGAATAGAAAAACTCAACCAAAGTAGCAATAGTGATAATAATGATAAGATTCGTTATCACCTTAAACAACTAAGCAGTGGGTGCGCAGATATCAGATATTGTGCAATCTACTGTTGTCACTTGTCATGCGTGCCACCATGAATAACCAACCCATAATTTGTTTTGTTGGGGAAAAAATCCCGCATCATCCGTTTTGAATTTTTCTTTAACAAACGATTACATCCATTTGACTATTTTGTTTAGCCATATAAACTTGTGTCTTATCTTCATTGATGTACACAATTCCGGTAGGGGAATACAATTCACACACCTTGTTTTAGCTCTCACACGCTCTTGTTAATTTTATTATTTGATCTTTTTCAATTTATTTCATATGCCCAATCAAAAATTAAGAGATGTGTGTAAAGAGTAAAAATGAGTATGTGAATAACACCATCTATTAAAGTATGTAAAATTATATAATGATGTGACATACTGTCTACTTAATTTTCTCATTTAACATTATGTCACACCATTCTAGAATGAACTAAATAGGTAAGGTTGTATCTGTTATAAAAATGTAAAAGTTATAGAGAGATAACCTTTATTCAGGACAAGAACGAAGCAGTTGCAGAGTATTATACCAACACAAGCTGTTGCAGAGGAAGTAATGTATATTATTACTATTAGATATTTTTCTCTTCCTTTTCTCTCCGTGCTTTGTTGAACATTCGTAAAGCTCTATTTATAGAGCATCACCGTGGAAACAAACAAAAACACTATTAAACATATGACATGTTCACTGTATGCATGTGGGCATACATATTATACTATTTACAACACTCCCCCTTGGATGCCCACATATCAACATCAGTTGCCTCATTAAAACCTTGCTTGGAAAAACCCTGTGGGAAAAAAAACATAGCGAAGGAAAAAGAGTACAACTTTATCCGGATGGTGTTGAGCATGCTTATTTTGCCTCGTTAAAACCTTGATAGGAAAAACCCAGTGGGAAAAATCCTACTGGATGCTCCCTCTGAATTGGATCTCCCCCTGATTCTGCATTCTTCAAATTTGTAAGCCGACGTAATCCGATTCCCTGCACCAGCTTCTGAAATATGCACTTTGGTAGAGATTTGGTGAACAAGTCTGCTAAATTTTCATTGGAACGGATTTGTCTGACTTCAATAACTTTAGCCTTCTGAAGCTTATGTGCGCTGAAAAATCTTGGAGATATGTGTTTAGTCTTATCACCTTTGATAAATCCTTCCTTCATCTGGGCGACACAGGCTGCATTATCTTCATGGATAACAGTTGGAGTGTCTGTCTTTGAAGGTAGACCACATGAATTCCGGATGTGATGGATCATTGATCTTAACCAAGAACATTCACGACTTGCTTCATGTAGAGCAATTATTTCCGAATAATTGGAAGATGTTGCAACTAGCGTTTGCTTCGTTGATCGCCATGAAATTGCAGTATCTCCATTAGTGAACACATATCCATTTTGTGAGCGGGCTTTATACGGATCTGACAGAAAACCAGCATCTGCGTATCCAACAAGGATTTGTTCATTTGTGGGCTTGTCTGAGTAGAAGAGACTCATATCTGTTGTCCCACGAAGGTATCGTAGAACATCTTTGACTCCCTTCCAATGACGAATTGTTGGAGCAGAGTTGTACCTGGCTAACAAGTTAACTGAAAAAGCTATATCTGATCTAGTACATTGTGCTAAATACAATAAAACACCTATTACGCTCAAATATGGTACTTCTGGACCAATGACCAGTTCATCATCTTCCTTTGGACGGAATGGATCTTTCTTAATGTCTAAAGAACAAACGACCATTGGGGTGCTAAGTGGATAAGCCTTGTCTATGCCAAATCGCTTCAGTATTTTTTCAATGTAAGCTGATTGATGGACCAAAATTCCACTAACACAATGCTCGATCTGCAGGCCTAGACAATATTTGGTTTTCCCAAGGTCTTTCATTTCAAATTCGCTTTTCAGATATTCAGCAGTTTTATGGAGCTCTTCAGGAGTCCCAACTAAGTTCATATCATCAACATATACTGCCACTATAGCAAATCCAGAGTTGGATTTCTTAATGAACACACAAGGGCAGATGACATTGTTGATATATCCTTCTTTAATCAAATACTCACTGAAACAATTATACCACATTCGCCCAGATTGTTTCAGCCCATATAGTGATCGCCTTAATTTGAATGAGAACATACCCCGTGGTTTGTTTGTTGCTTCAGGCAACTTAAGTCATTCTGGGACTTTCATATATATGTCAGTATCTAATTCTCCATATAGATACGCGGTGATGACATCCATAAGTCGCATGTCAAGTTTTTCTGAAATCACCAAACTTATTAAGTAACGGAACGTAATTGTGTCCATTACAGGAGAGTATGTCTCCTCATAATCAATTCCAGGTCTTTGTGAAAAGCCTTGTGCAACGAGTCGTGCTTTGTATCTAGCAATCTCGTTTTTCTCATTGCGTTTCCTTGTAAATACCCATTTGTAACCTACAGGGTTTACATCAGTTGGGGTTTGGACTACTGGTCCAAAAACACTTCGCCTTTCCAAGGAATTTAATTCTGCCTGGATTGCATCTTTCCACTTAGGCCAATCTTGTCTCTGTTTGCATTCATCAACAGAGCGGGGCTCAATATCATCACTTAATGTGATTTCAGTGGCTACTGCGAATGCAAACATATCGTCAATGATTATTTCATTCTGATCCCACAATTCATTAGTACATGCATAATTTATGGAGATTTCTTTGCTTTCATGTACTTCTGTCTCTTCAGGGCCATTTTCTTCTTCTGGAAGTCCAGAGTCATGAATTGTGGATTTGTCATTTACTCTCTCTTCCTGAATGATTTCATTTGGATTCAGTTGTGCCCTCGTCTTTCTCTTCCGATGGGATGAATCTTTTGAACCTGGTGGTCTACCACGCTTCAGGCGTGCACCAGATGAATCATTCGCTGCCATTTTATTTTGTCCAACAGGGACATCAATTCTGGCAGGTGCATTTGCAGCTGGTATATGCGATTTTGTCACTTTCATAGCGTCATTAAATGCATCTGGCATTTGATTGGCAATGCTTTGAAGATGAACGATCCTTTTCACTTCATTTTCACATTGAAGGGTTCGAGGATCAAAATGAGACAAGGTGGGAACAACCCATGTCAGCTCTTTCCGTTCTTCTGGAAAGGTCTTTTCTCCCCCTAACGATGGGAGGACTGTCTCATCAAAATGACAATCAGCAAAACGAGCTGTAAACATATCACCTGTCAAGGGTTCCAAATATCTAATAATAGATGGTGAATCAAAACCCACATAAATTCCCAGTCTACGCTGAAGTCCCATTTTAGTGCATTGCGGGGGTGCAATAGGCACATGAACAGCACAACCAAAAACTCGTAAATGTGAAATGTTTGGCTGATGTCCAAACACGAGTTGTATTGAGGAGTATTGGTGGTTGGCTATAGGTCTCAATCGAACCAATGATGCAGCATGTAGAATGGCATGTCCCCATGCAGAAACTGGCAATTTGGTTTTCATAAGCAAAGTGCGGGCTATTAACTGAAGCCGCTTGATCAATGCTTCTGCTAAACCATTTTGAGTATGGACATGAGGAACAGGGTGTTCAACATCAATGCCCAATGTCATGCAGTAATCAAAAGTTTGAGACGTAAATTCACCAGCGTTATCAAGTCGGATTGATTTAATGGGATAATCTGGGAATTGTGCTCGTAACTTAGTTATCTGAGCAAGAAGTCTCGCAAAAAAGCTACATTCCGAGTAGACAAGAGACAAACATGTGACCATCTGGTGGATGCATCAACCAAAACCATAAAATATCGAAATGGTCCACAAGATGGTTGAATAGGTCCACAGATATCCCCTTGAATTCTTTGTAGAAATGATGGGAATTCAGCATCAACCTTTAGTTGTGATGGTCTAATTACCAACTTCCCTTGAGAACAAGCCTTGCAAGGGTTTATCATTTGAGATAGCAATGTCTCTGCTCAATAATGGATGTCCATTAGAGTTGGTAATGATCCTACGCATCAT